AGTTTGGTTTGAGCTTAGGGTGAAGGATCAAACAATGATCCCTCATGTGTCTGGTGGCATCACAATGTTTGCATTTGAGATAAGGATTTCTCCCCTTGTACTTCTTATCACTGGAGAAGTATTTCTTATCACTGGAAAAGTAAGCCCTAGCTTCCGAGGTAGTTGTTGTGGTACCAGTGTTCATAACCTTTTTCCTCACTTATTTCCCTTGAATTGTTGTACAAACATTTGCAAAGGTGGGAAGCTCTGAATTCATGAGAATATGGCTATGCAGATCCTCATATTCAGACCCAAAACTAAAAAGAAACTGGAAGATTTTGTCTTCTTTAGCCGTTTTAAGAAGTAGGTTTGAGTTTGTTGTATGTGGACAATATACCTCCAACTCATTCCACATACCTTTTAGACTTCCAAGAAGCTGATGCTCACGATATCTCTTTTAAGTTGAAACACCCAGGCTGCATTATGCTGATTTCCATACAACTTTTGCACGGACTTCCATAGCTAGTAGGATGATTTGGAGTAGCTGAATATCTCATTTATCATTTGCTCCATGGAATGAACAACTGATATTTGCTAAGCCAAGATTCATAAGTTGAAGAAGAAGCATCAGGGGCTTCCATACTTCCATTTATGAACCTTAGCTTTGATCTTCCTCCTAGGGCAAGTGAAACTGCCCTCGACCATGGTAAGTAGTTGAACTCATTTAGAAGCACAAAATTCAACCTTTGAATTGGATTTGCATCGATCTCCGGTTGATTTTGGTGACTGGCTCCAAGTGAGTAATCAACCTCAGACTTGAGGATAGGGTTTTCATCAGCCATGGAAGAATGCTTGAAGAACAAAGCAACAAGTATCACAGAGACAGGTTATTCCCACTCTGATACCGTGTTAAGTTTTAAGTGTTTGTTTGTATTATTTCTTCATGCGAAAACAACAACACAAGGATACAAGATATATAGGGCAAGAAGTGATCAACACACTGATCACCCTTGAAACACTCCTACATGGCAACTCCATATAACAAGGAGTAGAAAGGAAGGTAAGGTGAAAAGCTTCTAACCACCCTAGAAGTATGGGAGAGAGGACACTGTAAGGATGATAAGGGTCAAGATGTTGCCATGCGTCAATAGATTAGGCAGTATAGTTGTTAGTTTGTTAAAATATTGGTTGCTTATGGAGTAAGTAATGTAACTAGTGTAAGAGGAGATAATATGCTTGTATTAAGAGTTAGTCAAGAAATATATCAGAAATTCTCTCTCACTTTGTTTCCCTTTCTCTCTCTGTCTCTTTATCTTCTTAAATACTCAATCACTATTGATGACCTTGAAGCTATGTTCTTGATATTTCTACATGGTATCCTTACCGGTGATGGGGCATTCTCTTTGTTCCTGAATTCTTTTGCTTCGATTCTCTCTGCTTCTGTTTATGGTATGAAATTTCTATCGGTCTTCTTTTATTGAGCTTCTTCTCACTCTGGCAGATATCTTGACCTCTTGCATATATGGTGTTTGATGAAATGTGTGTGAAGAAATAGTCCTTCTTAATCTGCTATCTACATAAATTTGTCCTTTGCATTGTTCTTCTGTGTTGATTTCGTCACGAACAAGTCTCACTCCAACCCTAATTTCTTCAAGAGTTCAAGAAAATATGATTACTGCTGCACAATTACAACTTGTCCAGTCTCCAATTACGAATCTTGTGCCAAATGTTTCTACTTCTGTTACTGTGAAGCTTGATGATACGAATTACTTGGTTTGGCATTATCAATTACGGTTGTTGCTCGAGAGCCATGGTATTCTTGGATTTATGGATGGCTTCAAATTATGTCCTTCTAGGTTTGTTGATGAACCCGATAAAGAAGGTGTTGAAACTGAGCACTATCATTGGTTGTATTAGTGCTCATGAAATCTGGATCAACCTGAGAGATAGATTTTCTACTGTCACAAAAGCTAGTATCTTTCAGATGAAGCTTGAGTTACAAAACATTCAAAAAGGCTCTAAGTCTATTTCAAAGTACTTTCAACAAATTAAGGATGTTCGTGATCATTTGTCTGCAGCTGGGGTTTCATTTGAAGATGATGACATAGTAATTCTTGCTTTAAAAGGTTTACCTTCTGAATATAATACTTTCAGGACAGTGATTCGAGGGCATGAAAATGTGATCTCCCTTAAAGATTTCCGAGCTCAGCTACTTGCTGAAGAAGCTACAATTGAGAATAATCAGTTTTCTGGTTCCTTTACCACTGCCATGCTTGCTCAGGGTAATTAGTTAAAGGGCAAAGGTCTTATGCTTGAAGAAGGCTTTTCCCACAACAATGGATTCTCTCCACCTCATTCAGGTCCATATCATGGATGTTCTTCTAATCAAGGGGCTTCTTCGGGCTCTTACAATACTAATGGTCCTCATTATAATTCTGGAGGTTTCAGGGGTTTCACAAAGAATAGAGGATGAGCTCGGGGCAGAAACAATTACAGTTCCCATTTTCGATTCTCTAGAAATAACAGCCCTGAGATTCTTTGACCTGCTCGACCTCACATCTCCACTTGTTCTGAACATGGCAATGGTGTACCTACCTGTCAGATATGTAATAAAAGAGGTCATTTCTGATTGCTTTCAGAGGCATTCTTCCACAACTGGGCCATCTTCCTCTCTTCAATGTCAAATTTGCTGGAAATTTGGCCATTCTGCATTGCAGTGCTATCACAGGGCAAACTTCTGATATCAAGGCCGATCACCACCTTCTTCCTTACCTGTTATGCATGCTAACTATCAACCTTTTGCACATCTGGAACAATTTTGGATGGCTAACACTAGTGCTACCTCTGATATGCCAACTATCATCTCACCACGGCTACTCCATTCATTGGTACTGATACTATAAGCTAGTGGTTCAGGTTTGCCAATATCCCATACTGGCAGTTCATTCTTACATGTTCCTAAGTATGCCTTTCAGTTAAAAGACATATTGCATGTTCCTCAAATCTCACAGCACTTGATCTTTATTTATAAGTTGTGCAAAGACAACAATTGTCGATTTATCTATGATGAATTTTGTTTTTGGATTCAAGATAGGATCACAGGGACAATACTGCTGTAGGGACTGAATCAGTCACAAATTTCATTTTTCTGTTGATCACTCTAAGCATGTATGTATTTCCTGTATAGAAGGCAAATGTACTAAGCTACCATTTTCTTTTCCTGCAAATAAGTCAACTAAACCCTTTGAGGTTTTGCATAGTGATGTGTAGGGACCATCACCTACTATATATGTTGAGGGATACAAGTTTTATGTCCTTTTCATTGATGAATGTACCAAGTTTACCTGGATATTTCCTTTAAGAAATAAAAGTGAGATGTTTCAAGTATTTGTGCATTTTCATGCTTTTCTATCCAACCAGTTTTCTACATCTGTTAAAATCTTTCAAAGTAATGGTAGTGGTGAGTATTGTAGTACTCGTTTTCAACAATTTTTGTTAGATAAAGGCATTATTCATCAAAAGTCTTGTCTTCATACACCTGAACATAATGGCCTTGCTGAAAGAAAGCACAGGCACATTGTTGAAACTGCATTGACCTTATTAAGCACTGCACAATTACCTCCTCAGTTCTAGTTTCATGCATGTGCCATTTCTGTTTATTTGATTAATAGAATGCCTTGTTCCACGTTGTCTATGAAGTTTGCTTGTACTTGTCTTTTTGATAAACCTCCTACTTTGACACATTTAAAAGTTTTTGGGTGTAGTTGTTATCCCTTGCTCAAGCCTTACAATACCAACAAACTACAAACCAAAACCGTTCAATGTATATTTCTTGGTTATGCAGGTCAATACAAAGAGTATATTTGTTTTAATCCACTCTCAGGGAGGTTTTATGTATCTAGGCATCTTGTTTTTTATGAAAACAGTTTTCCCTACAAACACTTACTTGTCAAACCTTCACAGTGTTCTTCTGTTTTTGTCACACCACCATCTATTGCACCACTGGTCACAAGTCAAAATGTTGTTATTTCTCATAACACATTTGCATCTCATGCATCTTTACCCTTGTCTCAACCTACTAGAGCTTCAGAACTACATCAAAAAATTTCCATTAATGAAAGATGTAAATCCATTGGAAAATAAAAAATACGCATGTCGGATGAAATGGTTGTTGCTATCTGCTACAATAACGACTCATTAGTTTAACTGAATAACTAAGTAAAATAGATAGACATTTCTCTTCGTCTCAGGTCGACGGATCTTCTCAATTCAAAGATCCCCTATATGGATAATACACATTCCAGTTGACCGACTAATTTGAATTCCTTCATCAATCCATTAGTGCCTCTGAGTCCTTGGCCTCCCCAATTTGAGCCCCAGAGTTTTCTTCATCACCTTTCCCTATCCCTAACCCTATATCTCATGCTTCAGAGTCTTTGCCTTCTCTATCACTTACTGTACCTGCATCTTAATAATTTACACAATCTCCAGTCCCTGCTAATCTCGATTTTCAACCAGAAAATCTCACAATTGTTCTTCCAGTGCCTTCTGTGAGTTTACATCCCATGCAAACTCGGTCTAAAAGTGGCATTATTAAGAAGAAAGCCTTTGTGGCATCTATGTCCTCTGTTGAGCATTCAGATATTGAACCCTCATCCTTCAAAGATGCTAGTAAGGTTGCAGAGTGGCAGGTAACTATGAAAGATGAAATCGATGCCTTACATGGTCAACATACTTGGGATTTGGTTCCTCTTCCATTTGGGAAGAACTTGGTTGGTTGTAAATGGGTGTATCGGGTCAAGAAAAATCCATATGGGTCTATAGCCTGATATAAGGCTCGGCTAGTTGCTAAGGGGTATAATCAAGATGAGGGCATTGATTATGGTGAGACCTTTAGTCCCATAGTCAAGCCAACTATTGTCCGACTTATTTTAGCACTTACAGCTCAATTTCAATGGTCTTTAAGGCAGCTTCATGTAAAAAATGCCTTTTTACATGATGATTTACTTGAGGAAGTGTATATGTCACCGCCCCCTGGTTTTGGGAGTCCTCATCATCCTTCTGATTTTGTCATCAAGCTTCATAAATTTTTGTATGGTCTTAAACAGGCTCCAAGAGCCTGGAATGACAAGTTTACTAGCTTTCTACCAAGATTGGGATTTCAGGCTTCACTTGCTGATCCTTATTTGTTTGTCAAACACGCTTCTCTTGGAATTGTGGTCTTATTACTTTATGTGGATGATATAATCCTTACTGGTAGTAGTTCATCTGATATTGCTACTGTAATCTTGGAGTTAACCAAGGCATTTGATATGAAAGATATGGGACAGTTAAACTATTTTATGGGCTTGCAGATTTCTTATCATTCAAATGGTTTATTTGTTTCTCAGCAGAAATATGCTCGAGATTTGCTAGCTCGAGTGAACATGAGTAACTCCAAACTTTGTGCTACACCTTGTTTTCCGTATCATCGGCTCTTAAAGGATGATGGTGATCCATATCACAGTCCAGATCAATATCGAAGTATAGCTGGTGCCTTGCAATATTTGACTTTTACTTGCCCTGATATTGCGTTTGTCATTAAGCAATGTTGTCAGTTTATGCATCAACCTATGAATTCTCATGTCGTCGCTGTCAAGCGAATTCTTCGGTATCTCAGTGGTACTATTCATTATGATATTAATTTTCAACCTGAAAACTTATCTCTGCACGCGTATAGTGATGCCGATTGGGTTGGTGATCCCAATGATCGACGGTCAACCTCTGGCTATATTGTGTATTGTGGTTCCAGTCCTATTTCTTGGGCTTCCAAGAAGCAACATACAGTCTCAAGATCATCTACCGAAGCTGAATATAGAGCACTGGCCATAACAGCTCAGAATTATCCTGGATCCGACAGCTATTGTGTGATCTTCATGTACCTCTTTCTGCTCCTCCATTACTGTTATGTGATAATATCAGTGCCATTGCCTTGTCTTCCAATCCGGTATTTCATTCTCGAGTTAAACATATCGAGATTGACTATCATTTTGTCCGCGAAAGGGTGATTAGAGGAGACTTAGTTGTGCAACATGTATCTTCCAGGGAGCAATTTGCTGATATTCTCACTAAAGGCTTGTCTATTTCTATCTTTCATGAGCATTGTTCCAATCTCATGCTTGGTTCGAACAAGTATGAGATTGAGGGGGGATGTAAGGATGATAAGGGTCAAGATGTTGCCATGTGTCAATAGATTAGGCAGTATAGTTGTTAGTTTGTTAAGATATTGGTTGCTTAGGGAGTAACAGTAAGTAATGTAACTAGTATAAGAGGAGATAATATGATTGTATTAAGAGTTAGTCAAGAAGTATATCATAAATTCTCTCCCACTTTGTTTTCCTTTCTCTCTCTGTCTCTTTATCTTCTTAAATACTCGATCACTATTGATAACCTTGAAGCTGTGTTCTTGATATTTCTACAAATACAAGATCTTTACAAGATATAACTAGAAGTAAGGTGACAACTACACCCTAATCATCAACCTAACCAATAGCTCCGGATACCCACTCTTGACTTTCAATATCACTCTTTGCAGTGATCACAACTGAGCGTAGTTCATAGACTGCTCCCGCCCATTCAAACAACCATCACGATATTTATACCTCGCTAAAGGTATCCATTATTAAGAGCGCGCCCAGCTTGTACTGCTACTTAGATATATATATTACGATCAATTGCATCCCGCAGATGACCATTTTCATATGTATTAGATTGAATAATACAGAAGAGATTAAAAGATGTTAATCTATAATGAAGTTCAGAAATTGGGGGTGCATGGGAGGCTCCGTTAGGGCAGTGGCGAAGCCAGGAATTGTCGGGGGGAGGGGCGATTTTAAAAGAGTGCGTTAAAAAAAATGGCAACAACCAAATCCCTTTATATAGTAATGTCTTCCATAATTTATCAATATAAACAAATTACAATTGTTGTCGGCAATGTTGCATAATAAGCTCATTATCAATAAAAGCAAATACATCTCTCAATGTAAACAATCATGCTATCACTCAACCATTAATCTCTTATTTTGTTACGCAATGGTGCTTTCATAGTCGTTCCATTACGTAACTGTATAATGTAAGGAAAAAAAGGAAGTTTTAATAAAACATTCCGGTACGGTTTACTGTTAACGAAAAACCACATTTTTACCTTTTTCTGGTACTATTCACTACACCTTTATTTGTCATTTTTCATTAAAACTAAAGTTTTTTTAGACTTTTCGTTAGTTTTCCTTAAAAAAAAACTTATACTCTTAATCCTAGAGTAGACTATACTAATATGACTAATAACAAATCAAACCAACAATTCAATTAATCAATACTAATAATCATACAAAATACAAATGATTCAATAAACAAAAATTTAATTCAACTAATCAATATGAATAATCGTATACATTATTCAATAATTTAATTAATCAATCAATAATAAGGAATTCAATTTTTACCCTAAACAATTATTTCATTTTTTAATAAACATAAATTCATATCAATAATCAATAACCAATAACTATATTAGTTTATTACCCTATAATTTTATATCAATTAAACAAAATTAGTATTAAATAATCAATTAGAGTTTGAAATAATATAAATTTGGAAAAGAAAAAAAAAATCATCTCAAAATTGGGAAGGATGGCGTGGCGACTGAAATGGAAGGGCCAACGGAATGGGGTTGGGTTGGGGCACTAATGGAAAAGGGCACTAATGGAACTTGGTAATGGCGAATGGGGGGACGGGGTAATTGGCTAATGGCCCCAATATTTTATTTTATTTTTAATGAAGGAAGTAAAACGACATAGTTTTACTTCAAAAAAATTATTTTTTATAAGAAATAAACCATGCGCGCAAAGGGTGCCGCGCAGCAACAGATGCGAGAAAACCAAACCACCGTATTTTCCAGTTTCCGGCCGAACGAAAGGGGATTAGGACTCGCTCTTTGGGTTATTTTTCGGCAAGCGGAGGGGCGGCCGCCATCCTTCGCCCCTATGTAGCTTCGCCACTGCGTTAGGGTGTTTGAGGATGTGGTGTTGGTCTTTGAGGGTATTTTTGGAAGACTAGTGCTGAAATTCGAAAAGGTCTAAATTTTTTATTTTTAATTGAGTGTAGATAAAAATTGGGGTAAACTTAGATGAAAGGTGGTTATGTGATTGTATTTCTAATGATTTTTTATTTTTTTTTTACTTTATTGATTAAAACTCGTTTATGAATATGTGAATTTCCCTTTCTTAGTCAATTAAAATCATGTGATTTACACGTTGGTCCATATATGAATATTATGTGAATTTTATTTTCTTAGTTAATTTAATGTAGAATTAAAAAGTAAAAATTGAATGGTCATATTTGTCGCAATAAAAAAAAAATAAAAATAGAAAAATTTGAACGTATGATGCTCCATAAAACTCGCATGCATTAGTAACATGGAGTTTGATTTAGTTTGTCTCTCAAACTGGTGGTGTTCTTTTATGTGTATATATATGTGTGAAGAATTTATGTGGAATAAAACTGCCGAGATGTCCCAGGTGCATGAAAGTGAAACTCCTGAAGATAAGGTGGTCGAAATCCTGTGTAGGTTGCCACCCAAGTCTCTGATGCGATTCAAATGCATACGGAAGTCTTGGTGCACTCTCATCAATAGACCAAGTTTTGTGGCCAAACACCTTAACAATTCTGTGGACAACAAACTCTCATCCTCCACTTGTATCCTTCTCAACCGTTCTCAGGCTCACATTTTCCCGGACCAGAGTTGGAAACAAGAAGTTTTCTGGTCCACGATTAATCTTTCCATTGATAGTGATGAACACAACCTTCATTATGATGTTGAGGACCTAATTATACCGTTTCCATTGGAAGATCATGATTTTGTACTGATTTTCGGTTATTGCAATGGGATTGTCTGTGTAGATGCAGGGAAAAATGTTCTTTTATGCAATCCTGCAACGAGAGAATTTAGGCAACTTCCGGATTCATGCCTTCTTCAACCCCCTCCCAAGGGAAAATTTGAATTGGAAACGACTTTTCAAGCATTAGGATTTGGCTATGATTGCAATGCTAAAGAATACAAGGTTGTGCGAATTGTGGAAAATTGTGAGTATTCAGATGATGAGCAAACATTTTATCATCGTATAGCACTTCCTCACACAGCTGAGGTATATACCACGGCTGCTAACTTTTGGAAAGAGATCAAGATTGATATATCAATTAAAACCTATCATTGTTCTTGTTCAGTGTACTTGAAGGGATTTTGTTATTGGTTTGCAAGCGATAACGAGGAATACATACTTGCATTTTATTTAGGTGATGAGACATTTCATATAATACAATTGCCTTCTAGGAGAGAATCCGGTTTTACGTTTGATTATATTTTTCTGCGAAATGAATCCCTTGCTTCTTTTTGCTCTCCCTATAATCCAAGTGAGGATTCTAAATTATTTGAAATATGGGTAATGGACGACTATGATGGAGTTAGCAGTTCATGGACAAAACTCCTAACTGTTGGACCCTTTAAAGGCGTTGAGTATCCTTTGACACTTTGGAAATGTGATGAGCTTCTTATGCTTGCATCCGATGGAAGGGCTACCTCTTATAATTCTAGTACCGGAAATCTTAAGTATCTTCATATTCCTCCTATTCTCAATAAGGTTGTGGATTTTGAAGGTCTTATTTATGTGAAAAGTATTGTTCCACTCAAGTGAGTTGAGGGAGAAGTTCCATTTTCTCCTATTTAATTTGCATGAATGATAAAAGGCTTGAGTTTGCTTCTTTTAATTTAATTCGCTTTGTGGCATTTGTAATTTTTTTGCTTATCATGGGCTGCATTTAGTTTTTGTGCTTTCCAGATTTTATAATGTTATTTTATTTGAATGTTATGATAACTATTTTCTTCAGAGTTAATTGATAATAACAATTCCTTTATGTTTTACTTCTACCGTAGCAGTGCAAACTTTTATAAGTAAAATACGGGGTGCTAAAAGGTTATTTGTAGCCTTTATCCCCTAACTATAGTTCATAAAAAGGGAACAAATATGTTATGTGAAACAATACGCATACGTCTATTATTCGACAACTTTGCTAAAACTTTACTCTTAAAACTCAGACAATTTTTTAATTTTAATGTTTATTTATTTAACTTAATTAGTTATTTAATGTTAAAAAATGTGTCAAATATGTTAATTTTATATGTATTATTGAAAAATGTATGACGATAATGTGTGTTAAACGTGAAAACTATATACGTACATGTTTATAATGTGTAATATACGTTGTACTTTTAAGAACATGCAATTTATTGAATCATTAAAATGTGTATAGAAAATGGCACACATTTCATGAGTTCATCAATTTAAATAATCGAGAAAAATAATGAGTGTATCCACCAACTAGTATTACTGCACTAAGATGTGAGAATGCCAACTTCTCCAATGGCAAAAATGAGACTGGTGGGTCTGAGCCTACGAAACCTGCTAATCCAAGGGTGCTAAAGCCATTGTTGAGAAGATTGCCCAACGTAGGAGTTTTATGGTGCTCCGGTGTCTTGGTTTGCATTGACACATCCGTCTAGGGCTAAGTCTTGTTCAGCTTCAGAGAGGCTCGCCACTATGAAGAGCTGGAAGGTGGGTTCATCTGCTAGGAGGCGCTTGTGCCTACTTCTCCCAATCTTGTGCCTAGTCTGGCTACTGAGAAGGAGGAAACTGCTCCAGAAGACAGTTGTGAGAAATCCACCGAGTTTTCTTCTAAGGAGTTCCCTAAAATTCTCAAGACCAACCACTCGAGGATCTTGATGCTTGCCCAAGTTCATTAACATTGTTGGGAAGGTAGTCCACTCAAATTCCTTTAAGAAGCATCATGCTAGCTTGAGAAGGGTTTCTTTGCTCGCTACCATTCAGAAAACTTTGATCATGGCTGCTAAGCCCATGCGTTCTGAAAAGGGTGTGCCTACGGTTATGAAGGAAGCGGAGGCAGTGGTGGCCAGTTTAAGTTCGTTTGGCTGCCAAAAGGATTGCGAAATTGGAGT